GGCAGCCCCCGCGCGCGGGAGCGGGCCCCGCCGCCGGCCGCTGAGGCGCTGCCGCCTGGAATGAGGAGGAGGAGGAAGAGGGAGGATGTTCGCGCTGCGCCCGCGCTGCGCCGCCGCCTGCCGCCGCTGCTCGCGCCCTGCGTGGAAACGGCACTTTCTGCGCCTAACGAGATGGGACTGAATGGGGTCGCCCGCCTCCTCCGCGCGCACTGGCGGGAGAAGCCGCAGCAGCCCCGGCGCTGATATTTGGGAAGGGGATTTTTGGGGGGGGGGGCTCGGCCGTCTCTCTCTCTCTCTCTTTTTTTTTTTTTTTTTTTTTAGAGAGAGAGAGTTGAAAGAAGCGTGTATTTTTTGGGTGCAAACCCCGGACTTTGCAAAACAATCTCCGCCTCCCGGAGGATATTTAATCTGCAACAGCAATCGCTGCTGGTGGAGGCAAACTTGAGAAGGGAAGGGGTGCTGGGGAGCAGTGCGGGGCCCCTGCCTGCTCCCGCCGAGGCTCCCGGCCCGCACGCGCGGAAGATGCGGTTCCCTTTCCCGGCGGCTGCTCCTGGGACGAGACTTTTGTTTGGACGGATCGGGACCGGACTTTTTAAGGACGCGCTTACCCATCTACGGGCGATTTGGGCATAAACAGCAACACAAACTCTGATTTGGTGCTGGAAGCTGCCCCTGCTACTGAACAGCTGCTCTCACCCTGCTTGTGTCCCTCCCCCGTCCCGTTTTCAAAAGGGGATCCTGAGCTGTTTTGCTTCTTTTTTTAATTGTTGTTGCATGTATTTTATTTTAGGTGGCTGCCTTTTCTGGCTCTCTTGGCTGTTTGGGGGTCTTGTGGACTGCTAGCTGCAGTAGCACTAACGCCACCTCTCCCTCTACCATGGCGAGCCCCACGGATAATAACGAGGGCTTCTTCTCGGATGTCAGGAAGGTGGGTTACTTGCGCAAACCCAAGAGCATGCATAAACGCTTCTTCGTGCTGAGGGCAGCCAGCGAGTCGGGACCCGCCCGGCTGGAGTATTACGAGAATGAGAAGAAATGGAGACACAAGTCCGGGGCCCCCAAGCGCTCCATCCCATTAGAAAGCTGCTTCAACATCAACAAAAGAGCTGACTCCAAGAACAAGCACCTGGTGGCCCTCTACACCAAGGACGAGCACTTTGCCATTGCAGCTGACAGCGAGCCCGAGCAGGAAAGCTGGTACCAAGCCCTGCTGCAGCTGCACAACAGGGCCAAGGGCCACCACCACCTCCATCACCATCACCACCACCACCACAGCGACGTCACCTTTGGGGGCAGCAGTGTGGGACTGGGGGAAGCAGGTGAGGACAACTACGGTGAGGTAGCCCCTGGCCCAGCTTTTAAGGAAGTTTGGCAAGTAATTCTGAAGCCTAAGGGCCTAGGCCAGACAAAGAACCTGATTGGCATCTACCGCCTGTGCCTGACTAACAAGACCATCAGCTTTGTGAAGCTGAATTCAGATGCGGCTGCTGTGGTGTTGCAGCTGCTCAATATCCGCCGCTGTGGTCACTCTGAGAACTTCTTCTTCATCGAGGTGGGACGCTCAGCTGTAACTGGGCCCGGGGAGTTCTGGATGCAGGTGGATGACTCGGTGGTGGCACAGAACATGCATGAAACCATCCTGGAGGCCATGCGAGCCATGAGCGAGGAATTTCGGCCCCGGAGCAAAAGCCAGTCTTCCTCAAATTGCTCCAACCCCATCTCTGTGCCTCTTCGTAGCAGACACCATATCAACAACCCTCCACCCAGCCAAGTGGGGCTCAGTCGCCGGTCCAGGACTGAGAGCGTCACTGCCACTTCTCCTGCTGGTGGTGGTGGAGGAGGAACTGGTGGCAAACCCAGTTCTTTCCGGGTAAGAGCATCAAGTGATGGAGAAGGCACTATGTCAAGACCTGCCTCTGTGGATGGCAGTCCAGTTAGTCCCAGTGCCAACCGGACCCATTCACATCGGCACCGTGGCAACTCCAGGCTCCATCCTCCACTCAACCACAGCCGGTCCATCCCGATGCCTTCCTCACGCTGCTCTCCTTCGGCCACCAGCCCAGTCAGCCTGTCATCCAGCAGTACTAGTGGCCACGGCTCCACCTCGGACTGCCTCTTTCCACGCAGGTCTAGTGCTTCAGTTTCGGGCTCCCCAAGCGATGGTGGATTTATTTCTTCTGATGAGTATGGCTCTAGCCCATGCGACTTCCGCAGCTCTTTTCGTAGTGTGACCCCAGATTCATTGGGGCACACACCACCAGCTCGGGGAGATGAAGAGCTCAACTACATCTGCATGGGAGGAAAGACCGCCTCATCCTGCTGCAGCCTGGCAGCCCCCAATGGCCACTTCATCCCACGCACCTGCCACCCGCAGCAGCAGCCCCGCTACGCCGGTACCCCTTGCTGTCCCCGAGGTGGTGGTGAAGATGCTGCCGATCTGGAGAAGGCATTCAGGAAAAGGACTCACTCGGCGGGCACTTCACCCACCATCTCCCACCAGAAGACGCCCTCACAGTCTTCAGTGGCCTCCATTGAGGAGTACACAGAGATGCTGCCTTCCTACCCCTGTGGTGGCAGCCGGTTGTCCTCCTACCGGCACTCGGCCTTTGTGCCCACTCACTCCTATCCTGAGGAGTGTTTGGAAATGCACCACCTGGACAGCGGGCACCATCGGACCAACTCCGCCCCGCACACGGATGATGGCTACATGCCAATGTCTCCTGGCGTTGCCCCTGTGCCCAGCAGCGGCGGGCCCCCCAAGGGCGGTGACTACATGCCCATGAGCCCCAAGAGCGTGTCGGCCCCGCAGCAGATCATCAACCCCGGCAGAGGGGGCCGCCACCCGCCACCCATGGTGGACTCCAATGGCTACATGATGATGTCCCCCAGTGGCAGCTACTCTCCCGATGGTGGCCCAGCGGGCTACGGCAAGATTTGGACTAATGGGGCCGGCCACCACCCAAAGCTTTCGGTGGAGAGCAATGAAGGGAAGCTCCCCTGTGGTGGCAGTGACTACATCAACATGTCCCCAGCCAGCGGCTCCACCACGAGCACCCCGCCAGACTGCTACTTCGGGGGCGCTGGGCAGCCGGGCGTGGAGGAGGCAGCCGCTGCTACCGCTCCCCACCACAAGCTCATCTACTCCTACTTCTCGCTGCCACGCTCCTTCAAGCACGTGCAGCGGCGAGGCGGTGGGGCAGCGGCGGGCGACGAGGGCAGCCCGCAGCCCCGCGTCGCCCTGGGCTCCGGCCGCCTGCTCTACACCGCCGAGGACTCATCCTCGTCCACTAGCAGCGACAGCCTGGGCGGCGGCGGGGGCCACGAGGGCTGCGCGCAGCCGCCGCGCAAGGTGGACACGGCCGTGCAGACCCGCAGCCGCCTGGCGCGGCCCACGCGCCTCTCCCTGGGGGGCCCCAAGGCCAGCACGTTGCCGCGGGCCCGCGAGCAGCCCCCGCTGCTCCTGCCCCCCGAGCCCAAGAGCCCCGGCGAGTACGTGAACATCGAGTTCGTGGCGGGCGACAAGCCGCCCTTCGCCGCCGCCCTGGGCCTGCCGGAGGGCGCCGAGGAGTACATGAACATGGAGCTGGGGCCGCCGCGGGCGCCCCCCTCGGCGCGGCCCGGCCGGGGCGCGGTCCCCGGCGGCCGGGACTACGTGGCCATGCAGC